AAAATCAGAAAATATCAAAAAGGAAATTCTCCTGATCAATTATTAATTTGCTTATCTTATATCTAAAGCACTAATATGAGGGCAGTTTTCCCGCTTATTTTATTTATTATACCTAAAAACACTACACATGAAAGGAAAAATTCCGCTTAGTTATTACTACGTTTATCTTCTTATACCTAAAATCACTACGTATGAGAGAGAAAATTTTTCCGCTCACTTAGTAGTCCACTTATCTTGTACTTAAAGCACTACATGTGAGAGTGAAATTCTTCTGCTCAATTATTAGTTCTCTTATCTTATACATAAAAAACCACATGTGACTATGTGAGAAAGAAAATTCTCTCTCTCAATTATTAGTCCACTTATCTTCTTATAATTAAAAGTGCTGCATATGAGATAGAAACTTTTCCCGCTCAATTATTAGTCCACTTATCTTGTACAAAAAAAACATTACACATGATTGAGAAAGTTCTCTTGCTCAACTATGAGTCCGCTTATTGTATACCTAAAAAGTACTACATATGAGACAGAAAATTCTCCCGCTCAATTATGAGTTCGCTTATCATTCACAATTATTAGTCCGCTTATCTTCTTATAATTAAAAGCACTGCATATGAGATAGAAACTTTTCCCGCCTAATTATTAGTCCGCTTATCTTGTACAAAAAAAGCATTACACATGATTGAGAAAGTTCTCTCGCTCAATTATGAGTCCGCTTATTGTATACCTAAAAAGTACTACATATGAGACAGAAATGTGTATATATATATATATCACAATTTACAATTTTTTATTATCAATCATACACCAATATTATTAGTCCGTTTATCTTCCTATAACTAAAAGCACTACATATGAGATATAAAATTTTTCCACTCAATTATTAATTTGTTCATCTTCTTATAACTAAAAGCACTACATATGAGATAGAAAATTTTTCCGCTCAATTATTAGTAGAACAAAAAAACATTACACATGATAGAGAAAATTATCTCGTTCAATTATTAGTCCGCTTATCGTATACCTAAAAAGTACTACATATGAGACAGAAATGTTTATATATATATATATATATATATATATACAAAAATGATCCTGTCCGAACGTTCGGACAGGATACTCCGTACGAACATCCCCTTTTGGGGCCCTTTCCGGTGGAATTTTTTGATGAAATTTTTTGAGCATGTTCATCATCAAGTCTAGTTTGTCCATACCAAATTTCAGCTCAAAATTCGATCAGGAAGGCATTCAAATCATTTTTTGAAGTTGACTGCATTTTTATATGTAAATTTTGACGCAGTCAACTTCAAAAAATCATTTGAATGCCTTCCCGATCGAATTTTGAGCTGAACTTTGGTATGGACAAACTAGACTTGATGAGGAACATGTTCAAAAAGTTTCATCAAAAAATTCCACCGGGAAGGGCCCCAAACGTCCATGTTCGGACGGTGTTCGGACCAGGAATGTTCGGACCTGAACATTCCTATATATATATATATATATATATATACATATCACAATTTACAATTTTTTATTATCATTCATACACCAATATTATTAGTCCGTTTATCTTCCTATAACTAAAAGCACTACATATGAGATAGAAAATTTTTCCGCTCAATTATTAGTAGAACAAAAAAGCATTACACATGATAGAGAAAATTATCTCGTTCAATTATTAGTCCGCTTATCGTATACCTAAAAAGTACTACATATGAGACAGAAAATTTTCCCGCTCAATTATTAGTCCGATTACCTTATGCTTAAAAAGGACTACATATAAGAGAGAAAATTCTCTCGTTCAATTAATAGTCCGCTTTTATATTATATATAAAAGCATTATTATATATATATGACAGGCGAAATTTGTCTGTCCAATTCTTAGTCGGTTAATCTTATACCTAAAAATGCCCTCGTTTAATTATTAAGGTGTTGATCTAGTTACTCTAAAAGTACTACATATTAGAGAGAAAAGTATTCCGCTCAATTATTAGTCGATTTATGAAGTTCTGACTGAAGTGAATGCATTGACTGATTTAAGAAAAAAATATTTTTAAAATATACTCCCTCCGTCCCGTAAACAACATCTCACTTTTCTTTTTGGGCAGTCGCGAAATTAACTTCCCACTTCTTCCCACTTCCTTATTTGGCAAATTCTCTGCATTAAAACAGTGCCAAACAGTGTCAAACAATGTCAAACAGTGTCTAAACAGTGTTCAAACAGTGTCAAAACAGTAAAATTTACCCCCAGTAAATTTCTTTCCTTAATATGTGTGAAGTCAAACTGTGAAGTTGATTACGGGACGGAGGGAGTATTTTATTAATAAAATTAAAGAAAAAATTATATAAAAATAGCTAGAATGATTATATACAGTAACTTCAGTCTATACAGCCAAAAAAGTAATTTCAATCTTACCTTTTCTGCTTATTACAGAATACAACGCGTGAAAACAATAATTACGTGTTTGGTGAAAAAGTTGGCCGATAAGCCGAAAAGTAGTGTTGCCAAACGGCCTCTTAGAGTGCTAAATTACCTTTTTATTTTTATATATACAATATTGGTGTCATATGAAAGATAATAAAAAATTATAAAATGTGATATATTTTTTGTGACAATCAGAATTCAAACAAAAAAATATAACAATTTAAAATATTAGAAGTTTTATTTGTGTTCCAAAGATGAAAGTGGCCTGAAAGAGAAATAAGTAGTGGCGTGGAGTGGAGTAATAATGAATTGTACTCCGTATTTGAAGAAGATGGTGAAGCCACGTGGAAGAGAAATAGCAAGTGAGAAAAATATGGAAAGGAAGCCGCGTTTGATTAATTGAGGATAAAATAGTCTTTTAATGAGTTATTTCTTTTCTTATATAAAATATAAATAGATGTCTTGTACTTTATTATGGAGTAATATATTATGGAGTATGTTTTGCTTTTCAATGTAGTCATTTTTTACTAATAAAGATACAATTGTTGAATTATAGCATTAGATATGATTATTGTGATACTTTTAACTTTACTTTAGTTTTAAACACCCAAAATGTAAAGGCTAGATCTGCCAAATACATCTACGCCCTTCTTTTTTTGTCTTTGAGAGCATCCACATCCATGATATTCAACTTTACGGTTTTTCATGGCTTATTATTGTCATGTCACCTCCAAATAAGATAATTTCAAATAATCTCCAAACCAATAAATTTCTCCTCATTCACGATCTTAATTTACCTTGGATAGGAGCATGAGCATGCACGAACTACAAAGCTAGTCATCACCATAATTATGAGTATATGCCTAGAAATAATCTCAAAATAATTCAGCTTTAGAATTTGATACCAGATTATTTTATCAAATAATCTCATGAAATAATCTCAAATCATATCCCAAAAAAATCCTCCACATCATAAAAATGATCTAAAAAATAATCTAGGATGGCGTGACCAATTGACCATTTTTAACATCCTTGAATATCATTATTCTTCAATCGTCCAGCACCCCATTACTTCTGGTTGGGGTCAACAAGAAAGAGAAAAACAGCGGTTTGTGGTCATATGAGAAATCCCTCTTCTTCGAATTTAGGTATGCCGGCGACGCTCGGATTTTAATGGTGGATTAGATTTGAAGCAGATTCCGACTGAGTCAACTGGCTTGGTCTCAGTAGCGGGGAGCTCCTCTTCTTCGTGATGTTGCTGCTTATTCGTTTTTTCTCAATGAAATTTACAACCGGCAGAAACCGGCATGGATTGCAATGACGGCACAGGCGGTTTCAGAAGCATAGGCGGGGATGACTGCTACTTCTCCTCTGTGCTTCGGTGGATTTCCAGCGAGTTGATGCCTTTTCCTCGTTGGTGTTTAAAGAGAAAGAAAACACTTGGTGGAAGAAGAAAACAGGTAAAAAAGTAATATGGGGCAAAGAAGAAAGTGAAAGGCGAGTAATACATGCCACGTGGCTTGATACACACCAACTCTTAATAATATTTTAATTTGGATTTTGCAATTTCTAAGAGATTCTAGTTAGTATAGTTTCTGTAAATGTTAATTATTAAAATTGAATTAATAATGAATATGGATGATTTAACTTTAATATTGGTGGACAAAAAATGTTGACTTTGCAAAACAATTGACTTATTTTTATGTTCCGTGAGACAGAACGCCTCAAACAGCAAACACAATCTTTTCTGAATGCCCCAGATGTAGCAGTGCCGTAGCCTCTTCGGCACTTCCTCTTGCTGTTGCTCGCCTTGCTAGAGATCATAATTCCTGGGGCGCAGCAAGCCGCCCACGTTGCCGGAGACCTTGCCTTTCCTATATTTGCCCCTCCAACATCCCCGAGATGGTTCCGCCACTTCTTATAGATATGGGGTGTCACAAGGAGTAAATCTCGAGTTCGAATCTTGGCAAATGCAATGAGAAGTTACCATATTTTTCATATGGAAATTCATTGACGCACAGAATTCCTCAAACATGAGGGTTTTTTCAGGGACATTCCAGGACAAATAATAGAGGGAAATTAAAGAAAATAGAAATAGATCGAAAACTCACAACTCCAAACTGTGCAAATATTTAGCCCAAGGACTGTAAGCCAGTGCCCTAACCAGAAAATATACATTAAAATAGGACCTAAATAAAATGATTGAACGGATTATTACTTTAAGTTTGAAGAACTGGAGTCGACATATGCAAATGGCAGCAGACTGTCCGGCGGCGGTCCAAGGACCCTGTGCAACATTGTTCTAATCCTATAAAAGTATTTTTGTCCAATCATAAAAAAAAAAGTCTTGTTTATGGAATTTTAAACATTAATCATATTTTTGGAAAATAGCATTGATTTGGTCGTATTTGATGAATCTCCCATTAGGATTATCTGCAATAACTCATTGTTTCTTTCAACTCTTTACAAAAGTTCATACTTGCTCACCGTGTAAAAATAGACCTTCATTGCCCAACACAATTTAATTATTTCCAAACTACTTTTACTCCCCAAAGTTATCAGTAATCAATTACTGAAGTTTTTCAAATATGTACCATACAACTATAACAGGCCCCGATCTTTTACAAATGATAAGTGTCAAAATTACATTGATCAGTGTCTCATCTGAAAACACCTTTCTCTAAACCCAAAATGTTTAAGTTTCGTCATGAACAACTACTACTAAGTAAGGAAAACACAACTCACTCGATTAGCATTACATGTACAGTTATTTATCTATGGAGGAACCGTGTGTGTGTGTGTACACTGATAAAAGGGAGCACAATGTACAATGTACAAAGTTAAAAAAAAGTGTAAGAATGAAGAAGGGCCTATTTCAATGTGTCCGTATAATAATTATTATTATCAGATGCAAGAATAAGGACATCGCCATCCCTGATGAGGGCAAAGTCGTCAATCAGAGCACCGCCGATACTGAAAACTGCAGTGGGTGTAAACCCAAACTTCTGTGCTCCAATGTCAAGCAGCTCTTTCATGGACTGAGGCAATGCCACCACCCTTCCTCCTCTCTCACCCTTTTCTTGGGAGCATGTTATCGTTACTCTCGCCACAGGAGGAGCTTGCTGAGCTCTGAAGCTGAATGCACCCTTACCCGCCTCAAATGTCTCTGACAATTCATACCAAACACACAATTAAAGGGGTCGTTTTCGACACATGTTTATCTCTCATAACCTCGAATGTGGGCACACCACTTTTATATATCACACGAGACTCCGTAGAACTTTTCGTCTCATTCCTTTACAAAAGTTACTTTTTGAGGAAAGATGAAATGAGACAACAAACCACCATCATCATATGTTAGGTTATTTTCACTTGCATGGAAACTAGGGTGAGATGTCAATCACCCAGCAAATCATGGAACTTGACCGACTCCATACAAGTTTCCACTAAAACTAAGAAATAGTAACACTACATTTGTACCAAAACTCCTTCAATCACTAAATAATCTCAATATTTCCCTTTTAAGAAAAGAACTGTGCAATTATATGGTTTCTTTTTTCAATGTATCTCTCAAACACATAATTTCCTTTTTTTAACATGTGTGCCACGTCAAGACTGGAAGGCCATTTCAGGACAGAGAAAGTATATAACAACAATAATAATAAGGCAGCTCGGTGCACATTGGCGTCCATACAATGCGAGGGTCCGTGAAAGGGTCCCACACTCCCACCATAAGGGTGTATAAGGGACAAGCCTTCCGTTGTCATTTTGACAGGAGGCCGCTTCCAAGACTTGAACCCGTGACCTCTCAGTCACACAGTAACATCGTAACCGGTGCGCCAAGGCTCCCCTTCAACAACAATAATAATAGTTATTATTATTATTCCCTCCACCCCATATTAAACTGTGGTTTGACTTGACATAAGAAAATGGAAATTGTTTGGCCAAAGGTTGAGTAGAGGAGAAAGAAATAATATGAACCACAAATTCTTTAAGATAAAACAAAAAGGGAGTTTATATTGGGGTGGATGAAAAAGGAAAGAGTGGAGTTTATTTTGGGACAAAGAGAGTATTATTGTTGTTGTTGTGGCTATCATAAAGGGATGCACGAAGACTTCAATGCATGAAATTCTTATGCTAACCTTCTTGAGGACCAGCCTGAGCTGACATGAAGCCAATGAGTGATTTTCTATAGTTAGACGCCCTTGTCCTCCATTTCGTATTATTAGACAAGCTGGTACCCCTGATATGTCCCGGCAATAACCCGGGTGCACGAATTGGTGCCACCAAAGATGTCTCCGGGAGCAATGGTGGGGGGATTGAAGACTCACTCTGATACTTCTTGAGGTAAGGTGCCTTTGGTTCGGGAACCTGAACGCGTCTCCTATTATACTCTTCCTTTGACCTAAATACTTCTTTTATGTCTTCATTCCCATGATACTCCGCAAGTGCCCGTGGTGACCACCCGTGCACGTCTGGTTTCTCAATATCTGCTCCATGTTCCACTAGGAACTTAACCATTTCCAAGTTCTCTTCTGAAACGGCCATGTGAAGCGCCGTGGTTCCTAAACTATTGAGAAGGGTGACATCCCCTCCGTATTTCATGATGTTCTTTAGTAGGTCTAAGTCGGCTTGTTCAACTGCAGAGCAAGCAAACTGGCCGACATCACCCGAGGATAAAGTCGCACCATTGTCCATTAGTAGTTTTATAACAGCTTCATGCTTCCCTATTATGGCGTCCCATAACGGGACATTGCCTTCTGAATCTGCATCAGAATACATCATAACCTGTAATAAGATTGGTGTTCTCAAAAACCACGCCCCCACAGTTTCCACTTTACTAAAGACCATGTGAAGTCAAAAATAGTAATAATAATAATTATATTTATCATTGTCGTTATTGCAATAAAAGAGCCGTTAACCAAGAGGTGCCATGGGTACAGAGCTAGGTAGAGATTTTTAGAACACAAAGATTCAAATCCTTTTTATACTTAGTCAAATATCTAAGTCCAAAGTCAATCCTTATTTTTACCTTAATCCTAACCATGATGGGGTCGGTGGCATTAAAAGTGTCAATGGCTGAAATGATTTTTTGCATTTTTGGTATGGGGATTACGTGTTACGATGATATGAGTAGAAGGGTTGACTTGAAATAAAAAGCAAATGTTATGTGATACCCTCAATTTTGTTTACAGTAGAACAAATTACCTCTTTTATTTGGATCTGCTCCGTAATCCAAGAGTAGAAGCACACATTCTAGGCTTCCTCTCGAAGCTGCAATGTGCTGGAATATAATATTAACCATGAATAATCATAATTCATAGACTTTGATAATGTTGTTTTGTGTCTAATGTGTGAGTGGGAAAGGGTTCATACCAGAGCTGTACGTCCATTTCCATCAAACTCATCTGGATCCATGCCCCGTTTCAACATTTGGTTCAACAATAGATCGTCTCCTCTATTCGCTGCAAAACACAAACTTAGAGGCATATCCATTCTTCCTTGAGCCAGTGTGTGCTCCGTATCTGCCAAGATTGATTCCATCATTGGGTCTCTTCTGTCTTTCAAATTCTGCACCATCAATGAAAATAGTAATCCATTAAGGATGCCTTGGTTTTTTAATACAATGAAAACAGATTTCACAACATTTTACTCCCTGCCCATTTTAAACTACTCTTACTATCAACCATTTTCCATTCATGTTGACCGGTCTGCATGACTGGACATGCTATTATTATGAGGATCCTTTTCTAGAGGGTAAAACGGGAAAGTTGATCATAAATCATTTGTTTCCTTAACATACGTGTAAGAAGAAATTGGAACCTATATTGGGACAAAGGGAGTACCACACATAGTAAGAGAGGGGCGAAAGAAAGGCACACAATAACAATAACAACAATAACATTACCCTAGTGCCACAAAGGCTCCCACCTATGGTGGGGTAAGGGGGTCGGATGTACGCAACCTTATCCCTGTACTAAAGTATTGAGAGACTGTTTCCAGATGACCCATGATGAAAATCGTGTTGAAAATTGAAATACACATATACAATCTATCAAAAACCATAGGGAGATCTACAGTGCCATGAGAAACATATATTCACCTGAAGGAGATTGTTCATTATAATTGTGCCATCACCTACATTTGCTTTAACAATATTAAAAAAGGAAGTGCGGTCCAAGCGGAGCAGCTGGCTCAGTCTTTTTGTCCGAATGGTAAAAAGTTGTGGCCGGTAGCAGAGGACACCAATTTCTCCACAAATGTCTCCTGCCTTCAACTCTCCAACCACCTAATAATATGCACCATTTTCATTAGCATTCTTGTATGCAACTAAAGAATAATGTTATTAGTAATATATATATATATATATATATAAATGTAAAGAGCATGATATACATAGATTTTAAGCTAAATATTACCTGGTGTACTCCATTCCTTTGAGATATAACTTCCTGGACAAAGAAGTGAGCTTGAGTAGAGCTTTACCAATAGTTATTACAGAGTCTCATATAATAAGCTTAACAGATATGAAAACGAAGAACAACTTTTCCTTGACACATGTTACCAAATCCATAGCCAAATGAATAACGAATAACTTATTCTTGAAAAACAGTTTTAAGATTCTGGAAAATAGTAAGATAATAATGATGTTGACATGTTGGAACAATGAACTTTTCCTAGTTCAGCATAATCTATATGTGTTTTTTATATTTAGGTGGGGGTGAGTGGGAAGCTATCTATTGGGATTATTAGAGCAAATATATATATAAAAGGAAAGTGATGGTTGTTCAAACAAACAGGTCATTTATATGCCATAGAAGAAAGAAGTGATAGCACTGTTGTTCCAAACATAAGTAGTATTATTCTAATGGTAAGTTCTCCCAAAAAGTATTACTCTGTCCTAAAAAAGAAGGCATGCGCAAAATACTGATTTTCCTGTATTATACACATGAAACTTTTCTGCGGCGGAAGTAATTCTTATGTTAAGACCACTAAATTAATAATGCTAAACAATATGTATTCTAAAATTATATTTAGTTATATTACTTATATAATGAACCTTGATTGATGAAACCTTAATTGCGAGTATACTACTTTTCTTATTTTTCAAACAAGCATCAGTGCTTACCAGTGATCCAGTTACTAGTATATACAAATCAGTGGGTGCTTCATTTTGCAATATGACATCTTCTCTTGGAGGGAAATACTCTGCCTTCATCTCAGAAACCTGAAAACAGCATTAAATTGCTCCAAAATATCAAATTTCAGGCTCCGTTTTTCTGATTCAAATCTAAAGAACAGTTAAACTTATGATAGTGGTCTATGACACTTCTTTATAACACGTTTTCATGTATATTAAATATTTATATGTTTTGGATGGTGAGTAACTATGAATTGTAAAGGAAGTTCCACAAAAAGATTGGGAAATATGCCTGGCCTCACAAATCCTTCCACCTCAAGGCTTAAAAGCGCTTTTCTAACAAATCCCAAATATATATATCAAAATAAAGACTAAGCCCTCTTGAGTCTGCACCTCCATCCAATGAAAAAGTTAAACATTGTGAGGAATATACCAATTGGAAGAGCAAGTCATCAGACACTCCATGGAACAAATACACCTTATCAACTAGCGAATAGAACAGATAATGTGATATGCTGGATCTAATGGCTTTTGGCAGTGCTTCAAGAGTTTCTTGCTGCTGCAAGCCTTCGGCATCTGTTCTGTACCTCAAACTCAAGTGTGCTAACATTTGATCCTGTAGGCGAACTGGCAATTGGTTTCTTTGAGCGAAACTTGTAGCAGCTTGAATAGTATCTCTCTGTGAGACAAAAGGAATGTCAGGCATGCGTGATATAAGCTGAGACCAGGAACCTATGTACAAGACTTAGCAAACCAGTGGCGATCTTAGGAATTGTCAATGGAATGGTAGAAAAACATACATCGTCACATAGGCAAGACAAATATGCATAAAGAAAATGATGCAAATCACGAAGAAGTGTACAGTGTATCTTCCTATGAAGCACTGGTAAAGTCAGGACATGGCAGCTTTTATTTAAATATATGGTTAATACTTTTTAGCTATAATAACAAATGTTTTTTTAATCCCGGTAGGCAAACCACCATTTTTGGAGGGGTAAATGCCGGGGAACATTTATAATAAAAAATGATTAAGGAGACTGCAGAATGAGAGATGGGTAGATAAAAAATAGTAGAAAGGTACATCTGTGGTTTTGTTCTTAAACATTTTTGGTCCAATGTCAATTGTCATACAGTTATTTACTTATGTGAAAACTCACCCATTTATAAAAAATGTCATGTCCCTGAAGTTCCTTCTAAATGATTCCATCATGTTAACATTCTAGCTAAGCAAATAGACGCATCTTAGGAGTGGCAACTGATTCGAGGCAAAAAAAAAAACTCACAAATTTCTTGGTTCTACTGGTCACATGAACAACCAAGTTGGTCATGTTTCCAATGAGATAAGCTGTCAATCCAAGGTCAAACAGCATGTATATCATGACGAATATCTTTTCTGATATGGTCACAGGATGCAAATCCCCATAGCCAGTAGTTGTAAGTGTTGTAATGGACCAGTATATTGATGTCACATAATGAGCCCAAATGCTTTGCTTCCCAACATCATTCATGGTTAACGAAAGCCATGTTTCTTTTAGGTTGGGATTCTGCACAGCAATATGATAGTATAAACAGCCTGCACAGTGAACTGTAAACAGAGTAACCTGCAAAAGGCCAAGAAACACACTTTATGTGTCAAATCACTGGCGGTGTAGTGCTTTCCAATAGGACACTGCAACCTTTGATAAGAGACAACTCACACTTATAAGCTTTGCAACCCGAATCCAAAAATAACTAAAGTTTTTGTCTTTCTCCAGCCTGCAACAATTGACAGTATAAATTTGTAAATCAACTATCCAAATCCCATATTTGAGAGCATTCTTTGCTTTAAGAAGTATGTAACAGTATTCCTAGTAATTGCCAGTGCCTTCATAGTTATTGTTACACCAAGTGACAAAATGGCTACATAAGTGCCCGTATTAACTATTTAAAGACTCAACAGTATAAATCCCTTGTCCAAATTCCTTATCTGATAGCTTTATTTGCATTAAGCAAGATATAGGAGCACCCCTGGTAATTCTAATTGCCTGCGTAGTTTTTGTAACACCAAGGAAATAATGGCTATAATAGTGTGCATATTAACTACTACGTATTTAAGATTCACCAATCTACAAACTGTTTCTTCACTGTTAGATTCCACCAATCTTGAATGAAGAGCCCTGTTAGTCTGTTACAGCATATTCAATTAAGCAATGTGCAAGTTCAATGCTACTGGATATAAAGGAGGGCCCGATGAATTACCTTGCAAACATGGAACTGACCCTCCTAAGACGCCAAAGCCGAAGCATACTGAAGTAGCCATATGGCCGAAGAAAGTGGGGCCAAATTTTCCTCACAAGTTCAGATGGAACTGTGGAGATCAAATCCAAAACAAACCAGCTTCTTATATACCTCCAAGCTATCTTTTTTGGTTCATCAATGAGAAGATACGTTGTTCTATCCAGGTAGGCTACAAAGAATGTCAATACAATATCTATAGCAAAAAATGTATTCACAACATTGTCGGAGATGGCTAGAGGTCCGCTTGGGGTTTCCAGGAAGCCGAATTCAAAAGGAGATACCCACGCTGTGTAGAAGACAAGCAGTACCAGAAATGCCTCCCAATTCCTGCATATCCAGCACAGATGGATTCTACCTCAATTAATCAGGGGACAATTTTGAGTATATAAAAGAAAACAATGTAGGAGATGACGTCCATATATATAGCCTCCTGGAACTCCAACACATAAAAAAATCATATACTGGTATGACAAAGATAACGCATAAGCAGCAGCTCGGAGCAAGATGTACCGATAATGGGGATCAAAGGGGGAGATAATGGAGGTGCGAAGACTAGCTTTGCGATTGCTGAGAGCTCCAAGGGAAGGAAGAATGCTGTTGTTGAAACTATAGTGAGAGCTCATATCATCCCTTCCGGAGAGCCTCTCTATCTCGCCCTCGCTTTCTCTCATCCCACACATTAGCTTCCCCTTCCATGACACCTTTTTCATTGCCTCTTCACTGGACATTCTCTCCCCGCACCAACATATATGCGAATGTTTATGTCAATACGCGTTTGCGCGCGCTTTCGTTCCGCCGCGGCTCGGCCACCAGAACAGCCGGCCGCCGCCCTCCACCGCCTTGTCAGAATTAATCCTTTCTTCCCGTAGTTAGTTGAAGAAAAATGTTCAGATTAAGCCTTTCCGTCGGTTCGAGTCCGATGGAATTATTTTTTGGGAATGTGTGGCTACGGAAAAGTCAGTGGCAACTGATTTCTGGATCGGTTCATCGATTCTCCATGGCTTTCATATTTTGTTGTTGCATGGGGCTCTCTCTGAGCCTCCTCTTTCCCTCCCAAATTGTACGACGCCAGCCCCATCCCATTAATAACAGAAAAATTACCCAATACCAACAAATTTGAAAAGAGGTACAAAAATTATATTAGTGGAGTAAAGAAAACATTATATAGCATTTGATCTTTTTAAGTACAAAAAATCGGGTTTTTAGTGTTAATTGTGTACACCTGTTAGATTAACACGTTAGTACAGCTGGGTTGTCAAACAAAATGCTAATCGGTCGACTTCTTGAAGGTCGACGCCAGCCCTCAACCACTTGATCGACTTCCCCTTGGTCGACATCAGTCCCTCGCAGATCGACTTCTCCTTGGTCGACGCACCCCTGCTCGTCGACGCCCCCCGCAGGTCAACTTCCGAAGGTCGATTTTCCCTTTGTCGTTGACTTCGTGAAGGTCGGCGCCATAACCTTGGTCCATTATCCCTTCTTACTTAACATTCTATTAGCCAACTCAGCTGTATTAACGTGTTAATCTAACAAGTGTACTCAATTAACACTAAAACCTCAAATTTGTGTACTTATAAAAAGATAAAATGCAATATAGTGTACTCTTTACTCCACCTCATACAAATTGATGTACTCAATTGACCCTTTCCTCAATTTGAAATGTCATTTTTTTTTCAAATTACCAATACTCTAAAAATGTCATGAATATGAGAAACATAAAAAAATCGAATATTTTCATGAAGATGTCATTTCTGACACATGTTAGCATTTTTTCCGGTAGTCGAAACTGGTGGTGTTGAGAAGTTGTTGAGGTGGAAGCATAGGCATGAGTATTTTTTTTAATTTAATACTCCCACCGTATTTAAATGTTCACTACACTAGCTTTGGACACAATATTTTAGGATAGAATAGTAGGTGATGGAGTTTCAACTACGAGAGCTATAACTACAGGAGCAGATGAAATTTAGGCAATATAAGGCAATATTATTATTTCGGAATTCGGTCCCTTCATGGGAAATACAGAAGAAGTATTTATGGACTATAAGAACTAGTGCTCTAGGAGGAAACTGATACAATAAATGATATTAACCACATATTAGTCGAATAGGACTCCTGTAATGCCTTAGACGTTGTGCAATGATTGTTTCTTCAAATCCACGTTCCTTCTGTTATTCATGCCTGCTGCCAGATAGATATGCACGACTGATACTCTGCCACGTAAGCCCTAGGAATATCCCGACCTCACTAGAACTCCGCCCAGACTCGATGTCTGCTGTCCAGCCCGACCTGGCTATGGGTTCCTATTGTGGGTCTGATTCCTAATCAGGCCCAACGGCTAATTAATACTAATCCCGCTTATGGGCTGATCCCGTTTATGGGCTTGATCCTGTTAAGGTCTAATCTCGTTGAGGGCTTGATCTCGTTAAGGGCTAATTCCATTGAGGGATTGATCCCGTTTATGGGCTTTAATCATAATTCCGTAATTGGGCCATGGTCTTAACCCATGGTACCATCACGAGCCCCCTACTCTCTAAAATGAGTCGGGCTGTATTTTAGGAGAGTATCGAGCTCTTAATTTGAAATTCAAACCTCGGGCGATTTGTGGCGCCACTTTGCATTGAATGTGGTTCACTTAGAGCGGTGCACGTTTGTATTATGTGCGAGTTCCAAGCCCATCCTTTCATCTGCAACACTCGATTACCTTTTTGCAGGTTTCCAAGCGGTTCCTCGAGCCATCACATCGCCTCTATATAAGCGTCGTTCCCATCTCGGACGCAGAGTTCTTCGAGGCGGTTTGCCTCGCTGGTCCTTCCGTAATCTGTTCTCGCCCTTCGCCAGGGCAGAACATCGTTAATGCTCCGTCTCCTCTCCATTTCGAGGTACACCTAGCTAGATTGGAGATGGGCCTTAGGTTTCCCCTTCACCATGCTCTCCTCAACATAATGCGCCATTACGGCGTTATTCCGAGTCAGTTCACCCCTACCACCCACCTGTTTATTGTCGGGTTCATAGCCCAATGGGTGCACAAGGAGGGCCCTCATCGGAAGGCTCGGGGGGACCGCCCAAAGGGGCGTGACTACAACTCTTGCCCAGTCGGCTGCAGACCTCCAGCCTCCCCAAACAAGGGGACCGGGAAGAGGCTGGCAATCCAGCCCGTCCTTGCAGCTAAGAAGAAGCTGAAGATATCTGATAAGGAAGCTGTGTCATCTGTTGTGGTGGTCGAGTCTGATTCAGATACTCACTCCTCTGGGGGCGGCAATAAGGAAGAAACTATGGCGCCCCGTCACATGATCCGTCTGTGTATGCGCTCCCAATCCGCCTCCATTTTGAACGGCAGTGTCAACTGTAACACCCCCAAATTTCCCACCCAAAAATAATACTTTATTCACAAGAAATATTAACTTTATTCGAAAACATCAGAGTTAGGCAGCGGAAAACCAAAAGGGAAATAGGGGCGTTACCGCCACACTCGATTCTCCCTTAACCGAGTGCACAGGCTAAAACAACTTAAACTCCAAACTAATTATTCACTAACTAAAGATATTAAAAATGGAATTACAATGATTTACTATAATAATGTTTTCTAGCGGAAGCTCTCTCGAAATCAACTTGAACTTCATCAAATCATCACCTGTGCAAAACCAAGTACAAAAAGAAAAACAAAAGAAAACAAAAATTAGCAACAATGCTAAGTAAGTTCCACCTAACCCCATAAAATAATATAATTTAATATTTTTGAAAAATATTTAGGAGGAAAAATCTTTTTAAAACAATTTATAAAATCTTCTCATAGCATAATTCCCTAGAAAATATTAGTACTTAAAATATAAATAAATATTTACAAACCACAATAATTACAAAAATACCAAATATACATAAAACCACCAAAAATCATTACAATAATTTCAAAGCATAAATCAAACATCAATTATTCACCTCAAATCTCAAAATACTTGTAAATAATTATAAACGATATTCAACATAATCAAACCTATTCAGATCAAAAGTATGTATACTCTAAAAATTCATGAATAATTTAATAATCCAATCTAATCTCAATCAATCCAAGAATTCAAATTCACCTCAAGTCCAATCCAATCAAATAATATTCACCTCAAATCAATAAATCAAGTTCACCTCAATTCCTCAAAACCAACTCAAAGTTCAATTCACCTCAAAACCAATCAAAGCTAGTGGAAGCCGAACTCCTACCTTAAGTGTGCACACCCCCTAAAAGGGATTCCAAGCCCTCCGGGAAGTAAGAAGCCCGAGTAGTCGGGATTTTTCTACCAACTACACTACAATTAAGCTGGGATACTCCGCTTTTGGGAAGTACCCCTGGTGGATTTAGACTTATAGCCATTACCACTCACCAATACCACATTTATCCGGATGTGGCAAACCGACACCACAGATTTCTCCGAGTGCTCACCAAAAATCACAATTCATTTTCAAAGTTTCCAAACCAATATCACAACCTCAACCAAAACGGATACAAAATCCAAACTCCACAAAATAATCCACAATGTAAAATATTAACTCCAACAAATTACACTCCAATGTACTATACATTAAAATTTCACGAAAGAGCCGAAATATAGAATACTTCATAAATAGTTCAGATCTCAAATATAACCCCAACAACATTTCACATGATAACTCAAATACTCGAAAATATCATTCAATACCCAATACTCAAATCTCAAATATAATTTCTTAATAACAATCCATAAATAATTCCAAATAATCAAATACGAAGTATAAATGTAAATGCTAGAAACCTGACAAAGTACTCAATAATTTTGGTTGACGTGGAACTTACCTCAAACTCCAAGTACTCTTATCTTCTACTTTGCTCCTCACTCAATTCACCTTTCTTCGTGTTCATGGATTCTCTCCGGCGTGCGTAAGGCTATCGACAGTTCGCTCTTTACTCGTAACTCTCTAGGCGGCCTTCTCCCTGATAGCGGCTGATGTGTGCCGATGGTGTCAGGCGGCGGCGGCAGCAACTCGTCTCACTCGCATAGCAGTTCTCCCGGCGAGTATGTAGTGTCCTTGTTTCCGACGCAGAAGTAGTCAACGACAGCAGCGAGGTCTGGTCAACTCAGTTCCGTTCCCAACTTCGGCATCGCAGTTTCAGTACTCCGGCGTTCTCTTTTTCTTCCTTCCGGCGAGAGAATTTCTATTCCAACAGCAGGCGACGTTATTCTTCTTCTCCCTCTTCCGGCGACGTAGTGGCAGGCCACTCGGGTTGATCGTCTCCAAGGGTTCCTCTGTGCAGGGCAATGTGATCGATCGGGGTATGTAATTGGACAGCCGTTTTCTCTGCTGCAGCGAGCATATACGATGTATATATATCGTTAACCGATGCTTCTAGGCTTTAGGGTTTCCACGAGTAAAAAAAACGTTCCTTTTTTAAGTGTGCATGATACGTACTAAAACGAAACGCTGGAGTAAACATGCTATTAATATGCACATGCTTTCCTTTTGAGACATTCTTCATGGACTTGTCAACATTTTTATTATTATATATATACGGAATAATACATAATATTGTTTGTGTAGAGTATTTTGTTGCATCACATATTAAGTGTACCTTTTCTCACATTAAATAAAAATGTGAGTTTTATTAAAATTTTATTTCACAAATATAATTATTAATTTGGTTGGTAAAATTAACTATTTTATTTTAATTAAAAAATTTCGGGGTGTCACATCAACCCTGTGGCCTTGGCTCTAGCCGTTACCCCTCCCGTTGATCGGAAAGGGCTTGGAGGCATGTCCTTTTCGGCAGCCCTGAAGCGGGCAGCTCGTGCCACTGCTGAGGTATTTCCTTTCCTTCCTTTTGATTTGAGTAATCTCTTTATGCAACCATTGCTTATGCCTGATACTTCATTACTTGATTTTAGGTGTTTATCCTGGTAGCTTCCAGTTCTACCCACCTTGAGCAGAAGCTGGCAGAAGCTCGAGGCCCCTGTACCGAGCTCGAGAAAGCTCTAGCAGATCCGGGGGCCGGCCCAGCTAGAGGCTATGGAGGTTGCCCAGGCTGCTGCTGAGAGGGAGGCGGAGGCTGCCAAACA